GTTCTCCAAGCCCCACTCCCCGTCCCTCAGCCCTGCTTGTCCCCCAGCCCCGGTTCACTGCCCCCACCCCAGCTCAGCCCCCCCTCTCCACGGTGCTCCAGACCCCTCTCAGACTGGGGGACCCCCCGGCCCAGCTGGTGTTGGGGGTCCTGGGGCACAGCCAGGGGTTCCAGGACCCATCTGGGAACACCCACAAATGCACCCAGGTCCCCCCGAACCTCAGAGGGGGCCAGTGGAATCCGTGACACCCCCTCTAGGAAGGGAACGTGTTGGCACCCAGCACCACGTGAGCCCATGGGAAGAGCCAACAGAGCAGCCAAACTGCAAGCAGGCTTTATTCCCCTCTTCCTTCTAAAATTTACTCACAGATGTCATTTCTGGGGGCAGCAGCATCACCCGGGGGCTCAGCTTCAGACCTGCAATGATGGAAAAACTCCATCTGCAAAATCGCATTGAAAACCACACTGAAAAATCACACCTGCAAACTCACATTGAAAAAAAAATCACACTTAAAAAAAAAAAAAAAAACTAACCCATCTGCATTTTTCTGCCTCCCTCTGAGGGATCCACACCCCCACACACGTCTGGGAGTTACAGCACTGGGAGGAAAACTGACCCTGGAGACTCCCAAGGTCACCAGCACCGTGGTCAGATGAGCCTGTGGGACTTTCCAGCTTTACGTGCTCATGAAAGGCCTCTCTGTGACTACAGAGACAAATTGATGGCTGTTTAACAAAATAAAGACCAGGGATGGAAATTAGCCCAAGAACAAGTGTTACCTGTGGCTGCTTTCTTGAAGCCCCTGACAGGAGCAGCCCCTGGTCCCAGCATTGGCTCCAGTGCCCCAACACACTCATCCCACAGCTCAGGAAGAGAATGGGGGGAAAATTCCTCTGGGAGATGGCACTGCCCGTCCTGCCGTGGCTGTGTGAGCCCCAGTCCTGGTGCCAAGGTGGTGCCAAGGCAGGGGCCGAGGGCTGGGCAGGGGACAGTGGGACCCCCTGGCTCTTCTGAAGCTGCTGAGATGCATTGGAGTGAAATCCTCCAGGATCCCTCTGCCCTCACCACAGAAAATTTCTCAAGTGGCTGCAAAGCTGAGGAGGGAGCTGGGGGCTGAATCCAGGGGTCCCCTCTGGTCCCCAGCAGAGGAAGTTGGAGAACCCAGAGCTGGCAGAGGGGTCCACTCCCTCCTGCCTGGGGCTGGCAGCTGCAGCCACCAGGAAAAGCTGGGCAGCAGCAGGAGGGAAGGCACAGAGGTCCTGGAAAGGCACTGGGACCTGCCTCCAGCTGCACCCCTGAGCTGCTGAGTGAGGACTGAGCTTGCCTGGATCCACCCATCCCTGTCCAGACTCTGCAACCCCAAAACAGCATCTCCTGCTCAGTCACCCTGGGGACAGTGAATTCACCAGCACAGGGGGGTCCCCTCTCCTCACGAGCCACCCCTGGAGGGTTCCAATCCCACTGCACGCAGAGAGGCGTGGAAAAGAGAGAATGATGTTTAAAACCATGGAAGAGTTTGGAAGGGACCTTAAAGCTCATCCTGTTCCACTCCCTGCCATGGGCAGCTGATCTGAGCAACCTTTTCCTTGACAGGGAAACTGCTGCCCAGGGTGAACTATAAATACAAAGATAATTTTAATTAATTTATTTATTTCTTTACACATAACTGAAAGTGATGTTACAGTACATAAGTTATTTACAACTGTGCAGTAATGTGTTGCAAAATAAATTATCTAGAAGGCAGCAAAAGTACATTGTTAATGTATATAAAAACTGTACAGCATTTATGGGATACAATTTTTCTTTATATGAGTATTGGCTCTGTAGTGTTTTCAAGTTATGTTCTCAGAAAGAGAAACGAAATGCCCAAGATTAAAGGAAAAAATATATAAACCACGTGGATTTTACTCCATTAAAAACACAGTTGGCAAAGTCCTTTCTCTGCGTCGCCGTCTCCCCGGCCGCGCCGCGCCGGCGGCTCCTCTGCCCGTCCCCAGCGGCTGCCGCGGGGCCACCGGCACATCCCGGAGCTGTCCCCGCTCCGGAGCCGCCGCTGCCCACCTTGGACACTGTCCTTTTGTTTCTAATTGGTTTGCTTTTTTTTTTTTCTTTTTAATTTTTTTTTTTTTTTTTTTTTTAGACATACCCATGATGGAACGAGAAACTCAAACACCCCCCCCCTCCCCTCCCCCCATGGTTTCCTACTGCAGCTTCTCCGAGAGGAGATCCGCGCCCGGTGGAAAACAGAGAGCTGGAAATCACGGTGTTCACAAGTACATGGTTCACGTGGTTGCTGGCCCCGCTCAGCAGCTTCTGCAACACACACACACGGTGTCCTCGGCCTCGTCCCTCCGCGCCTCGGCCAGTCCCGGGGCCGCTGGGCGCCCGCTGCCCGGAGCCTCCCCGCCGCGGGCGCCGGCGGGAGGAGCTGCGCCCGGCCCGCTGCCCCGCGGGGCCGCGCCGGTCCGGAAGCGAGGGACACGTCGTGAAGAAAGTGCAATTATTTCTCTTATCGTTTTGTTTTCTGCCGATAGCTGCTTCCTCCTCCTCTGACCAGGGATTCATCAGCAAGCGGTTAAGGGTGAATGTGAGCTCGACCGCCCGACCTCGGAGCGCTCCCGTCCTTGCCAGTGTTCAGAGATGTCTCCTGGGTTGGAACTGTCATGCCGGCAAGAGCACAAAGTCATCGTTCACGTCGACCATTGGCACATAGAACGAGGGCACCTCGTTCACGCAGAGGGATTTGTGCCCCGCGGGGTCCAGCTCCTGCACCTTCAGCTGCCACTCCATCCTCTGCACCGCGTTCAGGGCAGCTGCTTCGTGCTGCTGTCGCATGAGCAGGCATGTCTGGATTGGGAAACAACAACGGGATGTGAGGGCAGGCAGAGGCAGGACCATGCAGCCACTGTGGGCACAGTGTTAAATGCAGCAAGGGGTGCCACACACAGGATTTGGAATCTCTGCTCAGCCCGGCTCCAGAAGGAGCCGAGGCAAACCCAAAAGTTTGGGTCTGAAAGGTCTGTCAGCACTGCAGAGCATCCACTCCCACGCAACACCGCCCCGACAATCTCGGGACACCCACTCTGTGCTGGAAACCACTAAGGCAGCTCCCGGGCTGCAGCCACAGGCAGAGCCCTCCTGGAATGGCCCTGCCTGGAGCACGGGGCTCCCACAGCTCTCACCTTCATCCGGTCGTACTTGTCATCCACGTCCTGCAGCCAGGAAATGAACTGTCGCGCGTTGAAACGATCTCTGACCGATTTGTTTTCGTCTCCCTAAGGACAGGACACCACAGGGAGGGACATGGGATTAGTTTGGTACTTTAAGCATTACAGGTCTCTCAGGCCATGTTCATAGGGGCACACACTCCTCAGAACTGCAGCGCCTGCAGGGAGGGAGGACAGACATCTCTGCTGCCAGCTGCTCCTGCAGCCCTTTCCAGGGGCTCAGCCTCAGGTGGGGATGCACCCACGGGCACGTACTCCCTGTTTCTCCTTGCTTTGCAGGGAATCTGTCCATGTCAGCCCATCACAGCACCTGCACCTCTCTGACTCCTCCAACTGATGCCAGGATAGCAGCAGCACAGACATTTGGCTGGGAAATGCTGAGGGATAAATCAGAGCTCCTGGATCAATACGCAGCTCGTTAATAAATCCCAGGATGCTGTCCCTGCCCAGGATCCCTCCTGCAATGCAGCAGTGTAATGTTTCTGTTCCCTTCCTTGCACAGGGAGAAACACCTCAGAGTGTAGCAAAGGAAACCTTTCCAGTGTGCAGATGATCCTGACCAAGAAGGATGGAGGGTCCCAAGACTCACTGATAAAGCTGAGCCATCTCTGCTCCTAACAGACATGAACTCCTTGCATCCCACATTCGATTAGACAACTAGACAAATGCTGTTCCAAGTCACAGAATAATTTGGATTGGAAGGGACCTTAAAGCCCATCTCATTCCACACCCTGCCATGGGACACGTTCCACTATTCCAGGTTGCTCCAAAATGCATCCAACCAGATCTTGGACACTTCCATGGATAGAGCAGCCACAGCTGCTCTGGGCACCCTGTGCCAGGGCCTCCCCACCCTCACAGGGAACAATTCCTTCCCAATATCCCATCTCCCTCACAGGGAACAATTCCTTCCCAATATCCCACCTCCAGGGGGAGGTGACATGCTGCACCTGTGTGCCGTGATGGGTGACCTGAGCAAGGAGAGCGTTAGTAACTCCTGCCTCCATGCTTCCCTCCATCCCTCCAGAAAAGCCCATCTCCCTCAGGGTCTTGCAGAGCCCCTGAGACACTTCCTCACCGCTGAGCCAGGCACTGACCTGATTTTCCAGAGGCATGTTGTACACCTCGGAGTCCAGCAGCATGGTGCAGGCACTGAAGGGCACGGCCTGGTTGGCAATGGTCCTCGCTGCCCGGCAGTGCACCCTCAGGATCTCCTGCTCGCAGGAGACGATGAGCTTCTCCTGAGGAAGAGCAGAGCAATGAGTGTGGCAGCCTGAGCCTCGCCAGCAGGGGGAATTGGGGGGCTGCTCCCCAGCTGGAGTGTCCCCTTACCCGCTCTATGCTGTGCTGCAGCCGCAGCTTGCCCCGCACGGCCTCCTGCTGCTTGAAGAGCTCCTTGAGCGGCTCCGCGAGCGACGGCGGCGGCGCGATCTGCGGGC